TCAGGTGTGTTTGATTAGGGTTGGAACTAAACTGTGCAGAGCTGCGGCCCTCCAGGAATTGAGTTTGACACCCCTGGCTTAGAGGAATCCAGGAAAATAAATCAAACTCTGACCAGTGTGAGGAGAGTTTACAGTCGCAGGTGACTTGCTGAGTTTGGAACTGAGTTTGACACCTGTGCTCTAAGCTATCATACGTTGTTATTTTAGTTTATGACATAAGAAATAAGACATTATAGATGAAAAGGTGCACTTTAATTTTGAGTGCCGACCACAATAGTCACATACATCATTTGTTGTAACATGTGTATATATATATGTATACATATTTGACGTTGCGTTAACCGAATATTTTCCGTCACTGACTGATTTTTTTCAGCAGTGATGGAAAAATCTGAAGGCGATCCGTCATTTTGACAGATTATGCTGAGGGGGATCTATTTAATTTGTAGCTAACTGTAATTCCCACTCCTGTCCAGCTGATGGCGATTGCCCTTGTTTTGTCTCCTCTTTGTCACCGCTGCGTACAGTTGCAAAAATCTCACAGCAGCTGAGTGTGAAAAGTTTCTTTAAACGGCCAAATAGTTGTGATATTATTAATAAAGGTGAAATAAAGATGAAGTGATGCAGTGGACGATGAAGAACAAACAGACAAAAATCCTCAGTCGCCGACTGCTGTTATGGGCCAACCAAGCGGCAACAAGGAGGTCAGGTGGTTTGGAGTGCGTTGTGAGCACCATGCACTACCGAACGCAGAGGGGTGAAGCCGCGCCCCTGGTGCTGAAGGAGCGCGTGCTGCAGTATTTTTTCCAGGTGAAATGAGTGCTTGCAAGACCGGGAAATCCCACATTCAGAAAATCCAGCAAACTTCTGATCACTTCCTTTGGAGAAATGTTTCCTAACTACAAAACGCCAAAATCGGCCTGAGCTCGGCTGCCCTTCAGCGCCTCCGACTCGGCATCGGCGAGTGTTATTCAGGCTGAGTATGGCCCGCAGCTCGCTCCCACACATGCGTTTGTGATGTGGCTGTAAAGCACTGGCCCGATTCCTGTTAACCAATTCTGGCCTGAGTCTGTCTGTAGAGTCCTTCTGGGAAGTACTCTTCAGTGTGGCAGCAGAACGCGGCTTCAGCCTCCAGAACAAATTTAAAACTGTCACGAGAAGTCGACTTTCCGAGGCAAAGACACCGAATTTAATGACTATTGCCTCTGCATCAGACTCTCTTGATGCGCTTGATTACACACAGGCAAGCACCCAGTTCAGGTCGACACAGGACGAATATTCGAGTTAAGCCAGATATGAGGTTTTGTTCATTTGTCAAATAAATAAATTAATAATTTAGTCTATATGCTCGTCGTGCAAGTTCATTATTGAAATATAAGTGAAAAAAGCGATTAGAAAATTAATTGACGGTCAATAATAGGTTATGACGGAATTTTTACAACCCTCTTCGTCAAAATGACGGACAATGACAAAGTCTTACGCGACCTCTGATATATATATATATATATATATATATATATATATATATATATATATATATATATATATATATATTAGAGGTGGAACCTACACTAGTCTCACAGTTTTATATT